GGATTCCTTCCCAGGTAATAATCCTCAGAGCTCAGGATGCTTGTCTGTTCTTGAGATGAAAGGCACATGTCTCCTTTTCTCCTGTATAAATATATGCATAATAACTGCGTAAATATATATAGAATCTATCTATATATAAATGCTCTGTGCATAATGAGTACCTTAAAAACAAAAGAACCAATGAACGAAATCACCCCTAATTTGGCAACAAAACGTCTCACAACACAAGGAGTGACCATCACTCAAAAAATTGTGATTTTGTTATTTGTGAGTTGTAGTTGCTGGGATTTATAGTTAACCTACAATCAAAGAACACTCTGAACTCCACCAATGATGGAATTGAACCAAACTTGGGACTCAGAACTTCCATGACCAACAGAAAAGACTAGAAGGGTTTGGTCGGTATTGACCTTGAGTTTGGGAGATATAGTTCACCTACATCCAGAGAGCACTGTGGACTCAAACAATGATGGAACTGGACCAAACTTGGCACGAATACTCAATATGCCCAAATATGAACACAGATGGAGTTTGGGGGAAATAGACCTTGACATTTGGGATTTGTAGTTACTGGGATTTATCATTCACCTACAATCAAAGAGCATTCTGAATCCCACAAACGACAGAATTTCCCACACAGAACCCCCATGACCAACAGAAAATACTTAAGTCCATCCAGTCCAACTCTCTTCACCAGGGCAAGAAAATGTAATCAAAGCCCCCCTGACAAAGCGCCATCCAGCTATAGATATAGATAGATAGATATGATTCACACACACACAGATATAGTATCCTAGATTTGAAAGGGACCCCTAAAGAAGGACTATGACATGATGCATATTCCAGAGTGGGCAAACCAGACAATCTTCACATCAACACTGACAAAGGAACAAGAAATATTAGAAACCAACACTTTCTCATTACTTTATTTTCCAGGTCACCAGACTGGGCCACAGCAATGCATGGCAGGGGACAGCTTGTGTGTGTGTGTGTGTGTGTGTGTGTGTGTGTGTGTGTGTGTGTATATATATATATATATATATATATATATATATATATATGGGGTGTGTGTGTATTAAATAGCATCAATAAGTACATACTGATGGCAATAAGAGGGAGCCATCAAAGTGCATATCAATTACAATTGACGTCAATGATGGTTGCATTTTCATTAATAGAGGAGAAGAAGCAATGCCAACAGTAATAATAATAATAATAATAATAATAATAATAATAATAGCAGCTGACACAATATGAGGATTTAAAGATTGAACTGCAAAGACTCTGGCTCAAGCCAGTCAAGGGGGCCCCAGTGGTGATCAGCACACAGGGTGCAGTGCCTCAAGACCTTGGCCTGCACTTAAACACAATTGGCGCTGACAAAATTACCATCTGCCAGCTGCAAAAGGCCACCTCACTGGGATCTGCACGCATTATTTGCCGATATATCACACAGTCCTAGACGCTTGAGAAGGGTCCGACGTGTGATCCAATACAACAGCCAGCAGAGTGACCTTGTTTGCTGTGGACTCATCTTGTTGTGCTTCTAATAACAGTAATAATAATTCTTATTAATAACAGTAATAATAGTCGTCTGCTAACCTAACAGTTTGAAAACATGCAGGTGTGAGTATATCAATAGATTCCGCTTCTGTGGGAAGGTAACAGCGCTCCATGCAGTCATGCCTATGGCCACATGACCTTAGAGGTGTCTACGTACAACGCTGGCTCTTTGACTCAGAAATGTAGATGAGCACCAGAATCCCAGAATTGGACACAACTAGACTTAATGACAGGGGAAACCTTTACCTTTAATAATAATAATAATAATAATAATAATAATAGCAGCAACAACAAAGCATTCAGACATCTCAGGGCAGCTTACAGTCAAATCAGTTTGAAATGATACATCATTAGAATATTACAGAATAAAATAGATAAATAGATTATCAATAGAGCAGGAGAAGCAATGCCAACAACAGCAATAATAATAATAATAATAATAACAACAACAACAATAATAATACACCCAAGCATCCGAGGACAGCTTACAGTGAAATCAGTTTAAAACAATATGTCAACAAGAATGTTGTTTATATTGTCGGAGGCTTTCATGGCCAGAATCACTGGGTTGTTGTAGGTTTTTTCGGGCTATATGGCCATGTTCTAGAGGCATTCTCTCCTGGCGTTTCGCCATAATAGACAAGAAGAAGCAATGCCAGATGCAGGCAAAACGCTAGGAAAAAATGCCTCTAGAACATGGCCATATAGCCCGAAAAAACCTACAACAACCCAAGAATGTTGTTGTTTTGTAATAATGCCATTATTAAGAGACAAGAAGAAGCAATGCCATTACTACTAGTAATAATGATAATAATACTGCCTATAATGACAATATGTCTTCTTCTTCCGCATCCACAAATACCAAGCCAGATAGACTTTGATGTGTTTTGTGTATTTTTTTTTCAAAGGAAGCTCCTCAGTAATCAGTTGTAACAGTATTTTAAATTGCTTTTAGGATATTTGTTGTAATGTTTACTTATGTTTTAGTTAACGATGTCTTATGGGATTGCCTTGTTTTATTTTTCATCACAATGTTTAATTCTTTGCCATAAGCTCACTGTTATTACTGTTATTAGTGTGCTTTATTGTGTATTACTTTGATATGTTTGTAATAATAATAAAACTTTATTTATATACCGCTCCATCTCCCCAAGGGGACTCAGAGTGGTTCCCAGGTAATATCACAAAACATACAAAGTAAAAAACAACATAACCACAAGATTAACAAAAGCAAAATATAAGCATAAAAATTTTCGCCGTAATTGTCGTTTGTACTCACCTGAGGCATTGAATGCCTGCCTTTTTTTGTGCGTAAACTGCCACGAGTTCCTTTCGGGCACAGAGAGAAAGGGCGGTCAAGAAATAAAGTATTACTATTATTATTATTAGGAGCCCCCAGTGGTGCAGTGAGTTAAACCCCTGTGCTGGCAGGACTGAAGACTGACAGGTCGCAGGTTCGAATCCGGGGAGAGACGGATGAGCTCCCTCTATCAGCTCCAGCTCCTCATGCGGGGACATGAGAGAAGCCTCCCACAAGGATGATAAAAACATCCCAAAAAAATCATCCGGCGTCCCCTGGGCAACGTCCTTGTAGACGGCCAATTCTCTCACACCAGAAGCAACTTGCAATTTCTCAAGTCACTCCTGACACGTCAAAAAAATTATTATTATTATTATTATTATTAATCAAATCTTTGTTATCAAATAAATTGACAATTAGAAAACCAGACATTTTTCTGAAAATAATAATAATAATAGGACTGGGTGACCCTTCTGGTTTCTCCTAACTCCACGGAAACTTTGAGCCTTGTAGTCCAAATAGCAGGTGTGCTATTGCTTGCTCTCTGGAGTTATTTTGGGGGGTGGAGTGACTGCTTCTGACCGCTCCTTCTTCTTCCCGACTGACTCTCGCAGGGCTCCGGCCGCCATGGCCACACCGGCCAATGCCCAGAGCGCCAGCAAGACCTGGGAGCTCAGCCTCTACGAACTCCACCGGACGCCCCAGGTGAGGGGATGTGGGGGGCTGCACACCTACTTCCACCCTTCTCCAGCTCTTTTGACTTGGTGGCTCTTCCTTTCTTTCTTTCCTCCCTCCCTTTCCCTCATAAACCATCTCTCTTTCCCTTTTCTCCCCTTCTACCTCTTTCCTATCCTTCCTTCCTTCTTTCCACCCTTCTTTTTCTTCCCTTCCCTTCCTTTCTCTTTTTTCTCTTTCTTTCATTCCTTCGCCTAATATTTTTCCCCTTTTACCATTCACTTCTCTCCTTCTTCCCTTCTTTTTCCTCCCTCCCTCCCTTTCCCTCATACACTTCCTCCCTCACTTTTCTTCTTCACTTGCTTTCCTGCATACACCTTCTCTCTTCTTCTTTCTTTCCTTTCCCTTCTCTTCCTTTGTCTACCTTTCCTCCTTTCTTCTGATACTTCCCCTCTTTTTATTTCTTCCTTCCTTCCCTCCCTCTCTTTCTTTTCTTTCCCTTCCTTTTTCTCCTTCCTGCTTTTCTTCCTTCTTCCTTTCCCCTCATACACATGTCACTTTGCTTTCTCTCTCCTGTCTCTGTATTTCCTTCCTTCCTTCCTTTCCTATATATCTTCCCTTCTTATCTTTCTCCTCCATCCTTCCTTCCTTCCTTCCTTTCTTTCTTTCTTTCTTTCTTTCTTTCTTTCCCCTTCCTTCTCTTTCTTCCCATCCCCATTCTTCCTTTACTTTATTCTCATTCCCTTCCTTTTTCACTGTTCTTCCTTCTTCCCTTCCCTTCATACACATATCWCTTTCCTCTCTCCCTCTCTCCTCTGTTTCTTTCTGTCCTTTCTTGTATCCCTCCCTGCATACCTTTTCCCACTTTCCTTTCCCTCCCTCCCTCCCTCCCTCCTTTCYTTCCCTCCCCTTCCTTCTCTCTCTCTCTTTCTTTCTTCATTCTTTTTCCCTTTGTTTTTGCTGTTTTTTCTTTTTCCCTTCACATACATGTCACTTTCYTTTCTCCTCCATCCTTCCCTCCCCTTCCTTCCTTCCCCTTCCTTCTCTCTTTCTTTCTTCGCACCCACCAAGGAAGGCACGCAATCGGTATATATCTTGGAATCACAGAACTGTAAAGAGGTAACATGTATATCTGCCTCGCTTGTGCGCTTTGCAGGAGGCGCTGATGGACGGGACGGAGATTGCGGTCTCCCCGCGCAGCCTGCACAGCGAGCTGATGTGCCCCATCTGCCTGGACATGCTCAAGCACACCATGACCACCAAGGAGTGCCTCCACCGCTTCTGCTCCGACTGCATCGTCACCGCACTCCGCAGCGGGTACGGGACCACGGCACACACGTGCGCACGGGAGACACGCAAGTGGGGGGGGGGGCTTATTGGTCTGGACCTGGGTGAAATGAACCCCTCTCTCCCTCGTCTCTCTCCTCCAGGAACAAGGAGTGCCCCACGTGCCGCAAGAAGCTGGTCTCGAAGCGCTCACTCCGCCCGGACCCCAACTTCGACGCGCTCATCTCCAAGATCTACCCCAGCCGCGACGAGTACGAGGCCCACCAGGACCGGGTCCTGGCCAAGCTCAACCGCCTCCACAACCAGCAGGCCCTGCGCAGCAGCATGGAGGAGGGCCTCAAGGTCCAGGCCATGAACAGGTCAGTGGGGCCTGCATGAGGAGAAGGAAGGGGGCTGAGCTAGATGGCCTTGAAAGGTCCCGCCCAGCCGTTGACCTCTCTCTCGGTCCACATCTGCAACCTGCCTTTCTCTGCTTATGATCCATGTTCTGCTGTTAACTTCAGCCCTTCCTCCAGGTGTTTTGGACTTCAACTCCCACAATTCCTCACAGCCTTAGGCCCCTTCTTTTTCCTTTTCCTTCTGAGGTTGTGAGGAATTGTGGGAGTTGAAGTCCAAAACACCAAGTTTGCCCAGGCCTGGTCTATGGTCTGTCAAACAATTTCCCACCTGAACCCAAATCTTAACTTATGTCTGTCTAATGCCAAAACATTAGATAGACATGACCAAATCCATCTACGCTCAATGTATATGTGCCCTACTTATGATCTGTCTAGGATCAGTGTATGACCTACCTACCTGCAATCAATCTTGGATCAATCTGTCTGTGCCAGTGTTTCTCAATCTTCCTAATGCCGCAACCCCTTAAATACAGTTTCTCATGTATGTTGTGGTGATCCCCAACCATAAAATTATTTTTTTTGCTCCTTTATAACTGTTTATTTATTTTATTTCTCGTGTCAGGGCAGCCAGTCCATTATATTACATTTCTAACAGAACAAAGCAAACAAACAGACAAAATACAAAATTTGTGAGTTTGGTAGTTGGTTAAATGTCCTTTGACCAGTATCTGGCCTCTTGGAGTGCCTCTGGTGTTGCTGCAAGGAGGTCCTCCATTGTGCATGTGGCGGGGCTCAGGGTGCATTGCAGCAGGTGGTCAGTGGTTTGCTCTTCTCTGCAGTCGCATGTCGTGGATTCCACTTTGTAGCTCCATTTCTTAAAGATTGGCTCTGCATCTCATGGTGCCAGAGCGCAGTCTGTTCAGCGCCTTCCAAGTCGCCCAGTCCTCTGTGTGCCCAGGGGGGAGTCTCTCATTGGGTATCAGCCATGGATTGAGGTCCTGGGTTTGGGCCTGTTGGATTTGAGTTCTGGGTTTGGGGGACATGAGAGAAGCCTCCTCGCAGGATTGCAAGACATCCGGGCGTCCCCTGGGCAACATCTTCGTAGACGGCTGATTCTCTCGCCACTGAAGCGACCAGCATGCAAACAAGGAAGCAAAACAACCAACGGTCCTTTTCAGGACCAACCATGACAATAATCTCAATCAACATCGAAGGCATGTCAGCTGCCAAAGAACAACTGCTCTATGAACTGTGCCGAGATAAGAAATGTGATGTGCTGTGTGTCCAAGAAACACACAGGGATGAACGACAGAAATGACCCAAAGTTCCAGGAATGATCCTAGTAGCGGAAAGACCACATGCGCAGTATGGAAGCGCCGTCTTTGTCAAACCAGGCCTCCAAGTCAGCAGTGCCCACAACACTGAAGAAAACAATATCGAGGTTATAACAGTAGAGCTTAATAACATCACCATCACCTCTGTGTACAAGCCCCCAAATGAAGAGTTCTGCTTCTCCTCCCCCGAGAACTTTGACAGGCACCAAAGGGCGGTAGTCATTGGTGACTTCAACAGCCATAGCCACGTATGGGGCTATGCCCAAGAGGACAGAAATGGAGAGGCTGTCCTGTCCTGGTCTGAACTGCACAAACTATCACTCATCCATGATAGCAAGCTCCCACCATCCTACAACAGCGGGAGATGGCACCGAGGTTATAACCCAGACCTCTTATTTGTGAGCGACAGCATCGTACAGCAATGCACTAAATCAGTGGGACCACCAATCCCAAACACACAGCACCGACCAATAGTATGCCAACTGTTCCCAACAATAAGGCCTCAGGAAGTTCGATTTAAACGAAGATTCAACTTCAGAAAGGCAGATTGGACTAAATTCTCAGACATGTTAGATGACATGATCACATCGGCCGCGCCAATCCCTGAGGAATACGAGCATTTTATTGAAATCGTGAAAACCTGCTCACGGGCCTCGATACCGAGAGGCTGCAGAACCACTACCTTCAGGGCATTACTCCTGAAACAGCTGCCTTGTTGGAAAACTATTACAGGCTCAACAACGAAGACCCATTTAGTGAGCAGACTCTTCAGGCAGCGCAGAGCATTGTGTCCTCCATCTCTGAAGCCAAGAAAGAACAGTGGATCAAGCTGATCACAGAGGTCGACATGGGCAGGAGCAGCCAGAAGGCGTGGAGGCTGCTAAGACGGTTGAGCAACGACCCCTCACAAACTAATACCCATGCCAACATAAAGGCAGATCAGATAGCACACCAACTCTTGAAGAATGGGAAACCCAACCTTGCCACCAAAGAACTTTGGCCCAAAAGCAAGGCGCTGGCTGCTGGAGCTGATGAACAACTGCACTGCATCCTGTCAGATCCCCAAAATCTGGAGGAAAGCAAGAGTCATCGCCATCTTTATAACTGTAATTTTACTACTGTTATGAGTCATAATGTCAGTATCTGTTATGCAGGATATATTTTCACTCTATGGACCACATTTGGCACAAATACTCAATATGCCCAAATTTGAATACTGATGGAGTTAGGGTGGGTTGATATCGTCATTTGGGAGTTGTAGTTGCTGGGATTTATCGTTCACCTACAATCAAAGGGCATTCTGAACTCCACCAACAATGACATTGAGCCAAACTTGGCACACAGCATTCCCATGACCAACTGAAAATACGGGAAGGGTTTGGTGGGCATTGCAGTGTTTGCAGTGTACCCTTCGTGAGTCTAGAGGGTGGTCTGGATGGCCCTTTGATGCCCTTTCCAGCACTGTTTTGAGTGTGCCTTCCTTGGTGGGTCTGAGGGAGTGGTCCGGATGGCCCTTGGGCGCCCCTTCCGAATGCATGTGCTTCTCTCCCGCCAGGGGTCAGCGCGTCCGGAGGCACCCTCATGAGTCGGACAATGCCACCTTCAGCGGGGCGGAGGACAACTGCGACAGCCGCTCGCACATGAGCAACGCCTCGGCCCCCAGCCAGAGCGGGACCCCTGGCCCCAGCCGCAGCAAGCGCTCCCGGGCCTCGGAGGATGGATCGGGGCCCGAGCAGGAGGCCTCCCACGACGGAGGGGCAGGGGGAGGGGAAGGAGGAGAGAGAGCGGAGGAGCCCGGCACCGGAGTAGGAGGCGGCGGCGGCAGCGGAGGAGGAGCGGGAAGCGGCAGCGAGATCGAGCTGGTCTTCCGGCCCCACCCGGTCCTGGTGGAGAGAGGGGGCTACTCCCAGACCAGGTGAGGAGGGGTCAGTGCGGGGAAAGGGGGACCATGGAGGAGAAGGGACACGGCTGGGTCCGCAGGTGGACCCCCTCACCATCAGTAGAGCTGCTCTTCAAGGATGGGCCTCCTGAACATCTGTGGATGTTCTCCCCACACAATGATCTCTCTCCCCATGAATAGACCTCGTATTTGGAGCCCCTCCCCCTCAGTGGGCCCCCTCCCCAGGGATGAAGCCTTTGCCCCTCAAATGGACCCCCATTCCCCATGAATTGACCGCCTCTTCAAGGATGGACACCTCCACACAGGTGCCCATGGGTCTCTTCTCCATCAATGGACCCCATCCCCTCACATGGACTCTTGCTCCATAGGTAGAGCCACACCGCACCAGAGGACACCTCCCCATGCCCCCCGTTCTGTGCAGATGGAGGGACATCTCCCCTCTCCATAAATAGAAGGGTTTTGGGAGAAGGACACCTTCTCCTGGTTTGGTCTCCTGTATTTGGCTTTGATCTCTGATGAGGCACCTTGAATGGAGGGTGGACTTCCTTGTTTGTGGTAGTCTTTAAGGTGGGCTCAGCTCCATGCTTAGGGTGTTGAGCCCCCCACATTTCCCCCTAACTTCTCTCTCCCTCTCACCCCACGGGCCAGGTACGTGAAGACCACGGCCAACGCCACGGTGGACCACCTCTCGAAGTACCTGGCGCTGCGCATTGCCCTGGAGGAGGCCCCCACCCCTGGCCCCGAGCCCCCCGCCCTGCGCGACGTTAGCGAGAAGCAGTACACCATCTACATCACCACCCCGGGAGGGGCCTTCACGGTACGGAGGGGAGGGGCTAGTGGGCAGGGGGCGGGGCAACAGCGGGCGGGCAGGCAGGGAGGATGTTTCCATGCTTGCGTATTATGTGTATATATTAAATTGTGTAGTCATACTTTTAGTGTAAGCCACGTGGAGTCTCCTTTGGGAGAGAGAGAGGGCGGGAAATAAATAATGCAGAATGAGCACCTCCTAACTTTATTCTCTTTCACTCATTGCTCCCTCCATTCTTCTTTCCTTCTACCTCCCTTTTTTTTCTTGCTTTCCTTTCTTTCTTTCTTTCTTCTTTCTTCCTCCTTCCCTTCCTTTCCTTTCCATCATTCCTTCCTCCCTCTTTCTCTTCCCCTTCCATCCATCTGTCCTTTTTTTCCTTTCTTCTTCTTCCTCTTCCTTCCCTTCCTTCCTTTCTTTCTTCTCTCTTTTCTTCTCTGTCCTTCCTCCTTTCTTCTCCCTTCCTTCTTCCCTTCCTTCCTCCTTTTTTCTTTTCCTCCCTCTCTTTTCTTCCCTTTTTCTCTTTCTCCCTCCTCTCCCTTTCTTCCTTCCTTCTTCTCTCTTCCTTTCCTCTGTTTCCTTCCTCCTTTCTTCTTCCCTTCCTTCCCCTTCCTCTTTTTCCTTTTCCTTCCTCTTTTTTCCCCTTTCTTCTTTCTTCCTCCTCCTTCCCTTATCCTTCCTTCTCTTTCTCCTGCTTATTTCCTTCCTCTGTCCTTCCCTCCCTCCTTCTTCCTTTGTTCATTCTCCTTCCTTTTCTTCCCCTTCCTTCCTCTCTCTTTTCCTCTCTTTTCTTGCCCCTTTCATCCATCCTTCCTTCCTTCTCTTTCCTTCCTTCCCTCCTCCTTCCTTCTTTCCTCCCTCCCTCCCTCTTCCTCTTCCACCCTTCCTTCCTTTTCCCTTTTTCTTTCTCTTCCTTCCTTCCTCCTTTTCTTCTCTTCCTTCCTTCTTTTTCCTCCTTCCCTTCCTTCTCCCTTTTCTCTTCCTCTTTCCTTCTTCCTTCCTCTTCCTCTTTTCCTTCTTTCTTACTTCCTTCCTTCTTTTTCCTTCCTTCCTTCCTTTCCTTCCTCCTTCCTTCCTCCCTCCTTCCTTCTTTCCTTCTCTTCTTCTGTCCTTTTTTCTTCCCCTCCTCTCTCCCTTTCTTCTCCTTCCTTCCTTCCTTCTGCCTTTCTTCCTTCCTTCTTCCCCATCCTTGCTCCTTCCCCCTTTCCCTCCTCTCTCTTTTCTTTCACCTTCTATCTCTTCTTTCTCTCCTTCTTCCCTTTCCTTCCTCTTCTTCTCCTTCCCTCCTTCCTAACTTCCACCTTCCCTTTATCCTTCCTTCCCTTTTTTTCTTCTTTCTTTCCTTCCTCCTTCCCCCTTCCTTTTTTCTTCTCTTTCTTTCTTTCCCTCCTCCCTCCCTCCCTCCCTTCTTTCTCTTTCTTTCCTCCTTTTCCTTTCCTTCTTCCCTCCCTCCCTTCCTTCTTCCTCTTTCTTTCCTTCCTTCTTTCTCATCCTTCCTCCTTCCCTCCTTGTCTCCAGACGCTGAATGGCTCTGCGACCCTGGAGCTGGTGAACGAGAAGTACTGGAAGCTGAGCCGGCCCCTGGAGCTCTACTACGCCCCCACCAAGGAGCAGAAGTAGCCCCAAGCGGGACACCCGATGCTGCCCCCCCCCCTTTCACTCTCTGGGCCCCAAAAGGACTCTGGAGGGCGGCACCGGGTTCACGTTCCAGGACTCAGAGAGAGAAAGAGAGGGAGGCTGGCCTTGCCCTTTGGGGGAAACTCTCCTACAAAGGAAGGAAGGAAGGAAGGAAGGAAGGAAGGAAGGAAGGAAGGATAGAAGGAGCCTTGCAAACGGCAAACCCGCCTTCGGCTGAGCAAGTCTCTCCCTGGCACCCCGGCACCCCTTTCTCTCCCCCTCCTCGCAAAGAAGGACTCCTTCCGGCCCGCTTTGGCTTCTCTCTTTTGCTCCCTTTGGCTTGACTGACGGACCGCTCGCTCGCTCGCTCACTGGCTGGCTGCTGCTTCCCCCACACGTTGGGGGCCGGGGGAGAGGGCAGGTGGGGGTGAGGGCGAGGAGGCCACCGGCGCGATGTTTTGGATCCCTGGCCTTTTTACAGACGCAGAGGTCTTTTCCTCCTCTTTTTTGTGGAAATGAATTCATCACGGAAGTTTTGGGTCACTTTGGAAACTCATCTCCCGAGTCTGTCTGTCTTTCCTCCGCCAGCAGCAGCTCTTCCTTTCTAGATCAACACTGCCCTCTCCTGACAGCATTTGAGCACTACATAGACACATCCCCAATCCCTTGGCTGCAGTTCCCATCATCCTCTGTCATTTCCCCCCAAACCTCACCAGTGTTTAAAGTCATTGGAGAAGGGGATCTGTGTGGGAAAGGTTGTCCAGAGCCATCATTGGTGGGATTCAGTTGTTTCTGGATGGGAGTGGAGGTACTTCAAGTCCCATCATCCAGATTCCACCCAGCCAAGCCTTAAAGTGTGTCACCGGGGGGGGGGGGGGGGTCTGTGTGCCAAGTTTGGTCCCAGTTCATTGTTGGTGGGTCTCTGAAAGTTTGGGCTATCTTGGAAAATACATAATAATAATAATTATTATTATTATTATTATTTATAATCTGCCACCATCTACCCAAAGGGGACTCGGAGCGGGTAACATGAGGCCAAGCCCAAAATCATACAACATAATAAACACACAATAACAAAATGCACCATAACAAAATATAAAATAACAAAATCAACAATATAAAAGAGCACAGAAGGCAGGCCAAATGTATGAAGTAAAATGTTAAAAACTTAAAACCCTGGGTGAGATAGGGATAAAAGTGCATTTGTAGGAAAAGAGCCCAACAGGGAGGAACCATGGGATTTAGCCATTTTAGGGGGGGGGGGGGGGAGATGCTTTATTCTGAGGGCAGCTGTAGACTAAGACAACCAGATGGGTTGAGTAGTCATTCTCCAAAAGCACATCGGAAGAGCCAGGTTTTCACTAAGGGGGAGCCAATGCGATTGAAAGTACTGCAAATCCCATCATCTGTGGTCTATGCTCCCCCAGACCACACCAGGACGTAAAGTGGGTCATGGGGTTTCAGTATGCCAAGTTTGGTCCAGGTTTGTCTTTTGTGGGGGGTTGCAGTGGCCTGTGGAAGTGGGAGCCAATCAGAAAACTGCCACATACACACAGGCGTACGGCAAGGCTGCCTCTCACCCAACCTTTTTAACTTGTATGCAGAACACATCATGCGATGTGCAGGGCTGGATGAATGCAAAGCTGGGGTGAAAATTGCTAGAAGAAACATTAACAACCTCAGATATGCAGATGACACCACTCTGATGGCCGAAAGCGAGGAGGAGCTGAGGAGCCTTCTAATCAAGGTGAAAGAAGAAAGCGCAAAAGCTGGGTTGCAGCTAAACATAAAAAAAACCAAGATTATGGCAACAAGAATGATTGACAACTGATTGACTAGAAGAAACATTAACAACCTCAGATATGCAGATGACACCACTCTGATGGCCGAAAGCGAGGAGGAGCTGAGGAGCCTTCTAATCAAGGTGAAAGAAGAAAGCGCAAAAGCCGGGTTGCAGCTAAACGTCAAGAAAACCAAGATTATGGCAACAAGAATGATTGACAACTGGAAAATAGAGGGAGAAACCGTGGAGGCCGTGACAGACTTTGTATTTCTAGGTGCAAAGATGACTGCAGATGCAGACTGTGGCCAGGAAATCAGAAGACGCTTCCTTCTTGGGAGGAGAGCAATGTCCAGTCTCGATAAAATAGTAAGAGTAGAGACATCAGACTGGCAACAAAGATCCATTGCCTAGTCAAAGCCATGGTATTCCCTGTAGTCACCTACGGATGTGAGAGCTGGACCTTAGGGAAGGCTGAGCGAAGGAAGATAGATGCTTTTGAGCTGTGGTGTTGGAGGAAAGTTCTGAGAATGCCTTGGACTGCGAGAAGATCCAACCAGTCCATACTTCAGGAAATAAAGCCCGACTGCTCATTGGAGGGAAGGATACTAGAGACAAAGTTGAAGTACTTTGGCCACATCATGAGGAGACAGGAAAGCCTAGAGAAGACAATGATGCTGGGGAAAGTGGAAGGCAAAAGGAAGAGGGGCCGAACAAGGGCAAGATGGATGGATGGCATCCTTGAAGTGACATGAGGAGACAGAAAGCCTAGAGAAGACAATTTGTGGGGTGTGGAAGGAAGAGGGGCCGACCAAGGGCAAGATGGATGGATGGCATCATTGAAGTGACTGGACTGACCTTGAAGGAGCTGGGGGTGGTGACGGCCGACAGGGAGCTCTGGCGTGGGCTGGTCCATGAGGTCACGAAGAGTCGGAGACGACTGAACGAATGAACAAACAACAAATAATAATAATAATAATAATAATAATAATACTTGATTTGTACCCCACCACCATCTCCCCAAGGGACTCGGTGCGGCTTACATGAGGCCGAGCCCACAGCACATCGATAAACAAAGGCAATAACAAATAATACAACCATTAAAATAAAATAAAACTCAAAAAACAAAAATACACAATAAGCAATAACAATAGTAACATACAGCATTTTAAAAACCTATGGCCGGGCCAAATGTAATAATTAAAATTTAAAAGTGCTGGACATGAGCAAGGAGGTGAACTAGGAGAGGGTTTTCGGAGAAAGATGAGGGCGCGCAGACAATCCTAAATCAATATTACAGTGCATTTGAGGACATAATTGCTAAGAGTTTTCCTCAGTCTGGGAATGCACACTGGAACAACCACATTTTCAGGCTTCTCCTAAAGACTGCCAGCGTTGGGGCATGTCCTTAGGGAGTGAATTCCAGAGTCAAGGGGCCACCACCGAGAAGGCCCTGTCCCTCGTCCCCACCAATTACGCCTGCGAAGGAGGTGGGAGCGAGAGCAGGGCCTCTCCAGATGATCAAAGAGATAGAATCAAAGAGTTGGAAGAGACCTCATGGGCCATCCGGTCCAACCCCATTCTGCCAAGAAGCAGGAATATTGCATTCAAATCACCCCTGACAGATGGCCATCCAGCCTCTGCTTAAAAGCTTCCAAAGAAGGATCGCGTGGGTTCGTACACAGAAATGCGGTCACGCAGGTAGGCGGGTCCCAAACCGTTCAGGGCTTTGTAGGTGAGAACCTGCACCTTGAATTGGGACCGGAAAATGAACGGCAGCCAGTGGAGCTCCTTAAACAGGAGGGTACATACATACAAACACTGACTTTTACATACAAACACAAACATATACAGGGTTAGTCAAAATGAATAGGCCAATAAGAAAATTAATTTTAGACGAATGTATGTTTACTGTAACCAAACCACAGCTACGTAGCGACAGATAAACTATCAAAGTTTTTTTTGAGCAACACACATGTACGTTAATGCCGCTAGGCGTCGCTAGGGGTCGCTGTTTTCAAAATGGCGGAATCAAGCAAAGAGAAGGCGTTTTGTGTGATGACATTTGCTAAAACAATGTCAGTAATTACGGTCCAGCGAGAATTTCGAGCCAAGTATGGCAAGGAACCACCTCATCGACATTCCATTGCGAGGTGGGTAAAGCAATTTGAGGAGACGGGCTGCTTATGCAAGGGTAAAACCACAGGACGACCACGTGTCTCCGAAGACACAGCTGCATTCGATGCCATTACGTCGGATGTGCTGCAACGGATGTGGAATGAACTGGACTATCGCTTGGACATCTGCCGTGTCACACGGGGCGCCCATATCGAACATCTCTGAAGGTGAGACAAAACTTTGATAGTTTATCTGTCGCTACGTAGCTGTAGTTTGGTTACAATAAACATACATTCGTCTAAAATTAATTTTCTTATTGGCCTATTCATTTTGACTAACCCTGTAGTTTAGATTACATTAAGATTATTATAGATTTAAATTAGATTTATCTTAGATTAATAACATAATAATAATACTTTATTTATATCCTGCCACCATCTCCCCAAGGGGACTCGGGGTGGCTTACATGAGGACACGTCCAACAACACATCAATAAACCACAAAGGAGCAAGCAAATAATACAATTAATTCAACTTACATATAAGTAATAAACACACAAAAATTTAGATAGATACAGACTAGCTTGGGTACCCAGAGATGCCCGGGTTACTTGAAAAAGTCATTTTTTTTTATTTTGGGAAATGCATAAGGTTGTGGGTGAACTACAACTCCCATTATGCCAGGTTACCCCCCCCCCCCCCCCCCCCCCCAAACTCCATCAGTACTTAAAGTTGGGCATGTGTGGTGAGTTTACTTCTGGTGCATCACCAGTGGTGTTCATTGTGCTCTCTGGCTGCAGGGTGAACTATCCCAACATGGTGGGTCAGTCCACTGCAACCCCTCCAGTAAGTTCAATTGGTCATGGGGTTCTGCGTGTCAAGTGTACTTCTGGACTATTGTCAGTATCTCTGGTTGCAGTGTCTCCGGATGTAGGTGAACTACAACTCCCAGAATGCAAGGTCAATTCCCTCGCTCCAGAACTCCTCCTGTATGTTCAGTTGGCCATGGGGGTTCTGTGTGCCAAGAGTGGTCTAAGTCCATTGCCAGTTGGAGCCTTAGTTTCTCTGGGTGTAGGTGAACTACAACACTCAGAAATTAAGGTGAGTTCCCCTCAAACCATTCCAGTATGTTCAGTTGGTCATGGGGGTTCTGTATGCCACATTTGATCCAGTTGCATTACCAGTGGTGGTGGTGGTGGTGGTGGTGGTGGTGGGGGGACACGGTTTATCTATAATGTAGGTGAACTACAACTCTCAAAATCAAGGTCACCACCACACCACACCCCCAATCCCCTCCAGTATTCAAATTTGAGTGTATCGGGTATGCGTGCCACGTTTGGTCAAGATCCATCTTCGTTTGGGTTTACAGCGCTCTCTGGATGTAGGTGAACTACAACTCCCCCAAATCAAGTTGAATTCCCCCCCAAACCTGTCAAAGGTTGGTTTTGTTTGTTTTAGTCATGAGGGTTCTGTGTGCCAAGTTAGGTCCAGGTCCATCATTGGCGTGGTTCAGAGCACTCTTTGATCTTAAATGAACTATAAATCCCAAGAAAAACAATATTCAAATGTTAAGATCCATTTCCCGTAAACCCCACCAGCATTGGAATTTGGGTTGATATGTTCTGTGTCTCAAGTTTGGTCCAGATCTATTGTCGTTTGGGTTCACAGTAGTCTCTGGATGCAGGTGAACTACAAGTCCCATAAATGAAGGTCAACCCCACCCCTAAAAAAACAATACCCCACCAGAATTTTCTGTTGGTTGTGGGAGTTCTGTGTGCCAAGTTTGGTCCATGTCCATCGTTGGGGGTCCCTTCTATAAACAGAGGCTGGGTGGCCATCTGTCGGGAGGGCTTTGATTGTGGAGGACCCGAAGACTTCTCAATTCTTGTGGTTCTACAGCCAGCTTGTGGTGAAAGAAAACAACAGCGTGGTGCGTAGAGGACCCAGAGAATCTCAGGAATTCTGTTGAAATAAGGCTTATTTTCCCCATTCCCCCCTCCTCACTTTTGTGGGGTTCCTGTGCCCCCAACACACATGGAAGGCCCAGAGTAACTTCTTGAAAGCCAGAGTAACTTCTCCAAGATGGCAGGCTGCTAGAGGTGTGTGAAGCGGCAGAAATCCCTCTCAAAATTCAGCTGCGTCCCTCCTGTTTCTTTTTGAGAAGATTTCGGCACGTAATTCGACTTCCCAAGTTTTGTTATTGTTTTGGTAAGATTCGTTCCATTATCAGCAATGGGGAAAACTGCCAGGCTTCATTCTCCGTCATTTTTATGGCTATCAGGATGAAACTTGCCACACTCGTAGGTCACATTTACGACTCTAAGCTTGCCAAGTTTCAGAACGTTTCGGTCATCCGCTGATTTTCTAGAAATTTTTTAAAAGTTTTACAAAGATTTTCAAATTTTTTAAAAAACCAAAAGTATCCCTTTGAATTTTTGCACAATGGGACAACATAAGCAGGGCATCGTTCCCACAAAGTTTCAGAAAGATCTGGTTATCCACTGATTTTTAGGATTTTTTTTCCCAATTTAAGAACATGACAGGACTGGTTTTTAAGCAGAGGCTAGATGGCCATCTGCTGGGAAGGCTTTAATGGTGTCCCCCTGCCTGTTGAGTAGAGTAGAGTTGGACAGGATGGCACTTGGGCATCCCTTTAAACTCCCAGTATGATTCTATAAGCAGAGTCTGGATGGCCATCTATCAGGAAAGATTTAATGGGGGACTGGATGGCCTTTGGGGGTCCCTTCCAACTGTGTGAGTCCAATAAATAATAATAATAATAATGGCGAATAATGCGTTGTTGTTATTATTATTATTATTATTATTATTATTACTTAGACCCCCAAAGACCATTCAGTCCCAAACCATTCTGCCAAGCAGGAAGATTGAATTACTATTATAGTATTATGCATTATTATTCTTATTAATTAGTATGAGTCTGATGTTGATGATAATTATAATAATGGCAATGGTAATAATAGATAATAATGCGTAATAATATAATAGTAATTCCATCTTCTTGCTTGGCAGAAGGGGGTTGGACTGGATGGCCTTTAGGGGTCCCGTCCAACTATGCGAGTCTAATTAATAAATAATAATAATAATAATAATAATAATAATAATAATAATAATAATAATTTCATAGAATCATAGAATCAAAGAGTTGGAAGAGACCTCATGGGCCATCCAGTCCAACCCCATTCTGCCAAGAAGCAGGAATATTGCATTCAAATCACCCCTGACAGATGGCCATCCAGCCTCTGTTAAAAGCTTCCAAAGAAGGAGCCTCCACCACACTCCGGGGCAGAGAGTTCCACTGCTGAACGGCTCTCACAGTCAGGAAGTTCTTCCTAATGTTCAGATGGAATCTCCTCTCTTGTAGTTTGAATTATGATAGTAATACATCATAATAATAATGCATAATACTAAAATAGTAATTCCATCTTCCTGCTTGGCAGAATGGTTTGGGACTGGATGGCCTTTGGGGGTCCCTGCCAATTGTGTGAGTCTAATTAATAATAACAACAACAACAACAACAACAATGCACTATTCGCCAATATATCACACAGTCCTAGACACTTGGGAAGTGTCGGACGTGTGATCCAATACAACGGCCAGCAGAGTGATCTTGTCTGCTGTGGACTCATCTTGTTGTGTATCTAATAATGATAATAATAATAATGCATAATACTATAATAGTAATTCCACCTTCCTGCTTGGTAGAATGGTTTGGGACTGGATGGCCTTTGGGGGTCCCTTCCAACTGTATGAGTCTAAATAATAATAATAATAATAATAATTATTATTATTATTAATGCCAGAGATACAGCTTAATGGTGTCACATTAGAACATGTGGACCATTTCCGCTCCCTTGGCAGCCCCCTCTCCACCAAAGTCAACATCGACACCGAAATACAACACCGCCTGAGCTCTGCGAGTGCAGCATTTTTCCGAATGAAGCAGAGAGTGTTTGAGGACCGGGACATCCGTAGGGAGACCAAGGTGCTTGCTTATAAAGCTATTGTCCTCCCAACCCTGCTATATGCCTGTGAGACGTGGACTGTCTACAGACGTCACATGCAGCTCCTGGAACGTTCCATCAGCGCTGCCTCCGGAAAATCCTGCAAATCTCCTGGGAAGACAAGCGGACAAATGTCAGTGTGCTGGAAGAAGCAAAGACCACCAGCATTGAAGCGATGGTCCTCCAACATCAACTCTGCTGGGCCGGCCACGTTGTCCGGATGCCTGACCACCGTCTCCCAAAGCAGTTGCTCTACTCCGAACTTAAGAACGGAAAACGGAACGTTGGTGGACAGGAAAAGAGATTTAAAGATGGGCTCAAAGCCAAACTTAAAAACTCTGGCATAGACACTGAGAACTGGGAAGCCCTGGCCCTTGAGCGCTCCAGCTGGAGGACAGCTGTGACCAGCAGTGCTGCAGAATTTGAGGAGGCACGAGTGGAGGGTGAAAGAGAGAAACGTGCCAGGAGGAAGGCGCGTCAAGCCAACCCCGACCGGGACCGCCTTCCACCTGGAAACCAATGCCCTCACTGCGGAAGAAGATGCAGAGCAAGAATAGGGCTCCACAGCCACATACGGATCCACAAGGAAATCCATAATGGAAGACCATCTTACTCGTCCAACGAGGGATCGCCTAAGTAAGTAAGTATTATTATTATATTACAATAATATTACTAAATAATAACATTACTAAATAATAATTTAATATTAATAATTCCACCCCAGGAAATGTTACATTGCAAAAAAACCTCTGAATCAACTGAATCATTTACGAATTTTTGGATGAGCTGTTTCTATTTGTATTGTTTCAGAGACTGGTTCGCCGGTTCATATTTCGGTGATCCGTTACTCCAAATCTCTTGAATCTTCCGAAATACGAAGCAACTTCCGAAAGTTTCGCACATCCCTAAAGATGGTGCAAAACATACCATTTTTAAATTTAATTTAAAATCAATTTGGGAACAAAAGTGAGCCTTATTGCAAAAATATTCAGAAAAAAAAACAAACTCCAAAGTAGGAAACACACCAGCCTTTATTTGGGACCCTCTAAATCCCCCTTTTGAAGACGGAGCAGGAATGGACATTTGCATAAAGGCTTCCTGATTGGCTGTATGCAGATAGCACCACATCACCTAGTTTTAAAGCACGCTGCATACATTTATGCAAATCAAAAAAATTAAAATATGCATCAAAGAGGTCAAAAACACAGTCAACATCTCTCTCTGCTCAACTCAAGCCATCTTTCAAAATGTTATAACGAACTTCTTTCCTAATTGCGTTGATTTTGGCTAAATATGAACAACTGTAGTAATACCGACCCACAAGTGATACGAATGCCAACAAATTAAACACATTTACTAAAACTCAATACTTATAATTACATTTCAGTCCCTCCCCCTTTTCTCCTTATTATCAAAATGAATATTTTTAATTGTACAATTCTCTCCCCCCCCCCCCCCCAAATATAATATCTTGTTATATTCTTCTGTGCCTAGGGGATGCTGGGAGTTGTAGTCCACAAAGGCAGCATTCCAACGCATAGGGTGGTGGGACCCTTCCTCCCAGTTGCTTCCAGCAGAGGAAATGGGACATCTTGGTGGGGGTCAGCAGTGGTCCCTTTGGGTGCCTTTGGCCTCTGCAAAGACTCTTCAATGATCTGCGGAAGGAAAGAGATGGAGTGGGAGAGAAGAGGTTGGCCATTGCTTTCTTCTTTTTATCCCCCCCCCCCCCCCCCATTATTTATAGTTCACCAAGGGCTCAGAAATAAATATATCATTTCCCCCCTTTTAAAAAAAATGCACTTTCCAGACTTGATCAGCTTGAAAGATCAAGACCAAACCAGCAACAGCTATCCTATTGAACCCTTTAATAGGCTGTATCAATTCTTTGTGATTTTCTATATAGCTCTTTTCTTTCGGAATACTATCTCTATTTTGCATCTATAAAAATGTATGAACTTCTTTACCCAAATATAAACAGATAAGCCCAGAGACATTCGCCTCCCTGCTGAGAGATTTCCTGGACCGGAAGGGTTGGCGAATCCCTCTGGCCATTTCCCAAGCCAAGATCATCACCAAACCTATTGTTCATATAGATTCAGAGATTGGTGATTGCTGTCAGCCTAGATAAACCCAAACCTATTTGTCTAGCTATATTAGTAGTTTCCAACCTGTGGTCTGTGGACCACCAGTGGTCCGCAAGAACGAAAATATGGTCCACGGCCTCACCACTACCACACTGTTGCCTCGAAACCATGCGGCAAAGAGAGCGACTGGTCATAAAACCCTGTTATAGTGCTAAGGCAATGGGTATGTTGGGAGGGGAGAGGCTGACTACCCACGAAAGATTACTACTACTTTGTTGTTTATTCGTTCAGTTGCTTCCGACTCTTCGTGACCTCATGGAAGCCAGAGCTCCCTGTCGGCCATCACCACCCTCAGCTCCTTCAAGGTTAAGCCAGTCACTTCAAGGATCCCATCCATCTATCTTGCCCTTGGTTGGCCACTTTTCCTTTTTCCTTCCATTTTCCCCAGCTACTATGACTACTATTATTTATTTATTTATTTACTTCATTTGTTGACCGCCGCTCTCAGCCCTGGGGCGACTCGCGGCGGTGTACAACATGTAAAAACAGTCTACAAAACATACAATATATCAACAACCAAATTACACATTAATCTAAATCACACTAATAAATCCGCGCCATCACAACATAGAATCATAGCCAATCTCATAATCCATAGTCCGTTCCAAATGTCATTACTACTACTACTACATCAGATTATTAAATTTGGTTTTCTGTGGGCGCTGGGTGACTTGTGTAAGTCCCACTCTCAGTCTAAGACAGTAGTTCCCAACCTGTGATCCGTGGGCCTCCAGTGGTCCCCAAGAACTAAAATATGGTCCACAGCCTCACCGTTACTACACCTTTGGTAGGCCTGTTCCTGGGGTTATTTGGGGTGCTGATTCAGAAAATGGCATTGGATAGACCACACCAGCTCTAGATGATTAAATATGGTTTTCTGTGGGTGAGAAGATGGCCACTACCAGGTGGCATATGTTCTGTGTCAGAAACTAGAGCTGATGTGGTGTATCCAATGCAATTTTCTGAATCAGCACCCCAAATAAGCAAACTGAATCTAAAGTTGACCAAAAACTGATTCATAACCTTTTTGGTACTGATGTTGGAGAGTGGTCCCTGGTCAAAGTAGCCCTGGTGAAGTGGTCCCTGGTCAACAAAGGTTGGGAACCACTGAGCAAGATGGTTCACTGAAGCTGAGAGATTGCTGCCTGGAAAATATGTGCATGTGTTCAACCTCTTTGTTGACAGCTGGCCTTTGAGTGCCCAAGGTCAACAACTCTGTCTAGCACCTTTGGTTTCTAAAAGCTCCTATCTTTGTTTTGACTTCAAACTCGACACTGGAGCTCGTCACTGGCCCATCTTCATATCTTCACTCTTTGTTTCCCACACAATGCCCTCACCGGGGGGTGTCTCTGCACAAATAAATACACCTCTGTGGTTTGTCTTCAACCTGGTGAATGGGTTTCTCTGTCCTGCCTATCTGGTTTTTAGTATACCCTTACCAGGCACGGATCCCCTTTATCTGCGGTCCTAGTTAAAAGCAACTCTCTGAGGCTGAGACAATGTGACTTGCCCAGAGAGGGGTTCCATGGCAGAGCAAGGATTTGAACCCAAAACTTGATGTTGGTTTTGCTCCCACCTTTTTACATGGAGCCTAACCTCTCCAATATGTGAGTCCAAGCAAGCCTTCCCTCCGTGATACAGTGTCATGGCCCTTTAAATAGGATTTAAATACTTCTCAGGGAAGGGGCTGGGGGCCACACTAGATGACCTCTAGGTCCTCCCCATCCCAAAGAGTACCCTTCTAGGGCTTCTTTTTCTGCCTTCTGAAAGTCATGCAATTTTATCTAGACTTCCTCAATCTCACTGTTGTGGTTGTGGTTGTTACTGTTGTTAATCTGGGTTCCATAGGTTAACTCAGAGTCTCTACAGTCTTAAACATTTGTACCAACTGCCTAAGATTGAATGTACACTGGATTATTGATGCACCTACTTGAACTTCCATGGCTGAATGCAATGGGATCCTAGGAGTTGTAGTTTAGGGAGGAACTGACACACTTTGGCAGAGAAGGCTAAGGAGCTCATGAAGCTACAACTCCCAGGATTTTCATAGCATTTGCTTAGACTTTCTGACAAATTTGGTGCTTACCTTCTGGAAAGGAGCTGCCCTCAATAGGAACATAACCTGAAGGAGAGGGAGAAAAATAATAATAATAATAATAATAATAATAATAATAATAATAGCAATTTATTTATATTCCACCCTATCTCTCCAAGGGGACTCAGGGCGGATTACAGTACACATAATGCCATTTTGGATAGACGAGACAGACAGGCAGAACAGAAAGGAGGTATGTTGTGTCGACATCCAGCTTTTTGGCACCTTGGAGGTTGTGCTCGAATGCGGCCACAGGGGGTGCTGTCAATCCATCCTCTATGACAAAGAGCCATCTGGACCTCCTCCTTCTTTTTGGTCGCCAGGCAATTTCTGATCTTTTTTCTTTATGGTGTCGTAAATATCTCCCCCACTTGTTTTAGCAGCACCTAATTTATCTCATTACAGCTCAAAACTGTTTTTGAACTCCTTAGGTAAACAGTAACCCGAGTTGCCATTCGGCAACTCATGCCAACTCGGGGCTTCAACTGGCAACTTTTCAGCTGGCAGATCTTATCATTGCTAGTTATTTACCAGCTGTGCTAAAGTTAATCAGTGTTATAACAACAACAATAATTTAGTACAAAGATGCAGCCCAGGAGAAAAATGATAATAATAATAGAGCCTTGGGTTTACCTTGCCGTCCATTTTCCCTCCAGAACATGGCAGCTGCGGCAACGAAGAAGACGAGTCCCAGGCCCAGGACGGCCCCCGCCAGGCCCACCTTGAGGCGCAGATCCATGGACAAACCAGGCACTAAAGAGGGAAGGAGGGAGGGGTTAAATGTAGGTACAGGATGCCCCCCATGGTTAACTAAAAGGGGGTTCAGAGCAGAGCGGAGGAAGAGCCCTGGCACCACAAAGATTAGGAAGGAAGGAAGGAAGGAAGGAAGGAAGGAAGGAAGGAAGGAAGGAAGATAGATATAAGTGGAAGAGTAGAAAGGATCCCCCATGGACATCCAGTCCAGGCAAGGAGCTTGCTTGGATATAGACAATAAGGTTAAGATATATTCTAGGGAGTATATGCTGGTGGTTACCAGCATATAGAATCATAGAATCAAAGAGTTGGAAGAGACCTCATGAGCCATCCAGTCCAACCCCATTCTGCCAAGAAGCAGGAATATTGCATTCAAATCACCCCTGACAGATGGCCACCCAGCCTCTGTTTAAAAGCTTCTAAAGAAGGAGCCTCCACCACACTCTGGGGCAGAGAGTTCCACTGCTGAACGGCTCTCACAGTCAGGAAGTTCTTCCTTGTGTTCAGATGGAATCTCCTCTCTTGTAGTTTGAAGCCATTGTTCCCTTGCGTCCTCATCTCCAGGGAAGCAGAAAGGAAGCTTGCTCCCTCCTCCTCCCTTATGACTTCCTCTCACGTATTTATACATGGCTATCATATCTCCTCTCAGCCTTCTCTTCTTCAGGCTAAACATGCCCAGCTCCTTAAGCCACTCCTCATAGGGCTTATTCTCCAGAGATATACTCCCTAGAATATATCTTAACCTTATTGTCTATATACTGTTCCCTCACTTATTGCGGGTGTTACATCCCAGGATCACCCACAAAAAGTGAAAATCCGCTAAATAGGGACGATATAGCAATGTACTAATTGGCAAGCGGAGGGAGGACCAGACACTCTTTGATAGAAGTCAAATCAATCAACATTGCCACCTGGAAGGGAGTAGAAGATGATCTAAAAGATTAAGAGAAAAAAGGGGTCAGGGAGAGGTTTCCCAAGGGAAACTGAATGCTTTTGCCATGGCTTTCTGAATAAATATAGGGCCTGGGAATCTACGCTCTTCAGTGGGTTTGGTTTTCATGTGTAAGCATGTCTTTTGCTTCATGCATGGTATCCATGCCTTCTTCTTCATGCTAAGATTCCTGTTTACTTTTGCCTGGGATTCGTGTTCATGCTGAGATTCTTGTATGCAGTTTGTCCTGGTTTCAAGCTCCTAAATTGGGATATAATGGTTCAAGTTTGCTGCTGTTTCTTCAAGGGACTTTAGCTTTTTGCAACCTGAAAGACTCTAACTCAGTGGTTCTCAACCTGTGGGTCCCCAGTTGTTTTGGACTTCAACTCCCAGAAATCCTAACAGCTGGTAAACTGGCTGGGATTTCTGGGAGTTGTAGGCCAAAACATCTGCGGACCCACAGGTTGAGACCCACTGCTCTAACTCCTGTGGACTTGTTTACTGGATTTTTGCAACGCTCCTGGTTCCTGACTTGTAGTTGACGGTCTTATGTTACCTTGCTCAACTGACTGTTTTTGGACATTTCTTTATTACTTGTTTGGCTATTGCTATATTAATCCTCAATAAACTGCTTGCTATAAAGAACATTGGTGTGTTTACGGGTTCAAAAGTGCCAGCCCCAGCCTTGGTGTGCAACACGGTACTTTGTACCTCCTCTCTCTCTTTTTGTGATTGGCTGTCTCTCTCCCGAGGGGGAGGTTGAAATCCCTTTCCACATTCCATCATTGCCAGGAAGCAAAAACCCGCAAAACAGCGAGTCCGCAAATAGCGAACCGCAAAGTCATGAGGGAACACTGTATGAGATTTTCATGACAGCGCTCCCACCCTGAGATTCTTCCCTTCTTTATTTCTCCCTGAGGAGGGCTTCTGAGAGTTTCAAAGCAATCCAGAGTTGCAGGAAGGCACCACTAAACCCTCCCAACAGATGGCCATCCAGCCTCTACTTTAAAGCGTCCAGAGATAGAGGCTCCACTGGACTCTCAGGAAGTAGCAGATTCCAGCATCACGATGACTGACCCTCAGGGCAAAAACTATTAAGAAGGAAAACTCTGGGACTCATGGTCCGGGTTTAGGACAATGGTAAGAGCTGTTTGATGGTGGGATGTAGACCGCCCGGGAGTCCGGTGGAGTCTCTTTCCTTCCTTTCAGGGAGGGAAGGGTTGTGTAGTGTCTCCCTGCAAGGCTGAATGGGTTTGGACTGGGTGGCCCTTGGGCTCCCTCCCAATTCTTAAGGGTCAATGATTGTCATCCTTTGCCTCTCTGTCCATATGGCCATCTCTTGGACCTTCCTGCCTGGATGAAAGGGCTGGACTGGATGACCCTTGGGGTCTCCTCCCAACTCTTAAGGGTCGATTTCTCTCATCCTTTGCCTCTCTGTTCATATGGCCATCCCTTGGACCTTCCTGCCTGGAGAAAGGGCTGGACTGGATGACCCTTGGGGTCTCCTCCCAACTCTTAACGATCAATGACTCTCATCCTTTGCCTCTCTGTCCATATGGCCATCCCTTGGACCTTCCTGCCTGGATGAAAGGGCTGGACTGGATGACCCTTGGGGTCTTCCACCAACTCTTAAGGGTTGATGATTCTCATCCTTTGCCTCTCTGTCCATATGGCCATCTGTTGAACCTGCCTGCCTGGATGAAGGGGCTGGACTGGATTGCCCTTGGGATCCCCTCCCAACTCTATGGTTCAATGATTCTCATCCTTTGCCTCTCTGTCCATATGGCCATCTGTTGGACCTTCCTGCCTGGATGAAAGGGCTGGACTGGATGACCCTTGGGGTCTCCTCCCAACTCTTAAGGGTCAATGACTCTCATCCTTTGCCTCTCTCTGTCCATATGGCCATCTGTTGGACCTTCCTGTCTGGATGAAAGGGCTGGACTGGATGACCCTTGGGGTCATCCTTTGCCTCTCTCTGTCCATATGGCCATCTGTTGGACCTTCCTGTCTGGATGAAGGGGCTGGACTGGATGGCCCTTGGGGTCCCCTCCCAACTCTATGGGTCAATTATTCTCATCCTTTGCCTCTCTGTCCATATGGCCATCTGTTGGACCTTCCTGTCTGGATTAAGGGGCTGGACTGGATTGCCCTTGGAGTCCCCTCCCAACTCTATGGTTCGATGATTCTCATCCTTTGCCTCTCTGGGGGTCTTTCCCATGCTTACGATCCTACTCACCCCACTCCTGGACGATGGGCTCCTGGAGGCTGGAGTGGCTCACGTGGCAGGAGTAGGTCCCTCCGTGGAGGGGCTCCAGGGTCAGGGTCCTTTCGGCCTGGAAGGTCCAGTCTCCGTTGCTGCGGAGGGAGAGGGGCCCCTCTTGGGCCTCCAAGGGGGCCCCATTCCAGAACCAGGTGATGTCCACCTCTGGCGGGAAGAAGCCCCAGGCCACGCAGGACAGGGTCTTGGCTGATGGGGAGCCTTGCCGAGTCACCGGGTGGATGAGCACCTGCGGGGGAGCTGGGGGGGGGGGGCAGAGGGAGAGAGATGGGGGTCATTATAGGCCAGTGATAGCAAACCTTTGCGAGACCAAGTGCCTAAACCCGGGAGTGGTACAGGTGGTACATGTGCCGGGAGAGAGAGCTCTGTCAAACAGGAAATGCTGTATTAGATAGGAATGCATTGCATGTGGGAAAATACAGTTCTTATTGACATGTGTTCCCAGCACTGTCCACTGAAAGGGTTAAGAAAGTACAACTGTGATCTTAGAGCAGGCATGGACAAACTTCGGCCCTCCAGGTGTTTTGGACTTCAACTCCCATGATTGCTAACAGCCGGTAGGCCAGTGGTCCTCATCCTGTGGGCCCCCAGGTGTTTTGGACTACAACTCCCAGATATCCCAGTTAGTTTACCAGTTGTTAGGATTTCTAGGAGTGGAAGGCTAAAACAGTTGAGAACCACTGCGGTATGCTGTTAGGAATTGTGGGAGTTGAAGTCCAAAACACCTGGCGGGCCGAAGCTTGCCCATGCCTGTCCTAGAGGGAGAGCGGAGTCATTTCTTGCGATCCCTGAAGGGAAGAATAGGAGTGGCTTGTATGTGACCTTCCTCTTTGCTATGGGCTTCCTCTCTGCCATCTTAGATAGCTTGCCATGATCTCTCTGCATCTCTAATCCATCACCATCCTCGTCATGGGAGTGTCTTGCTATAGTTGTGAGTATTTCTGTATACTGATAGCAGACCTGTAAAGGGCTGAGAAGGGCGGTATACAAATATAGTAAATAAACAAACAAATAAATAAATAAATAGAGTTGTATGTAGCAACGACTGTAGAATGAACCTTCAAAGGAGTTTGGATGAAAGCCAGAGCTCAAGTGTGCTTGTTTGAGTGGTGACATCCAATACAAGGTCAGAGGCTGTGATATGAAATCTCTGCTAACTGTGACCAAGACTCTGCAGTGTTTTGGGAATTGGATAACTGCTTACCTTGGAGACAGTAAGTTCCACTGTGCAGATGGAAGAGAGGAGAGGAGGAACCCACATGCCTACCTAGCAGGGGTGTTGTGTGTGTTTTACTCTTCTTCTCTTCCACCCCCGCAACAGGCTCTGCGTGCTCTTTCTGGCAGATGTGCCATAGGTTCACCACCACTGCCACTGCTTGCCAGAACCTCTTGTGTCATTGCTGATCAGGATGAGATATGCCTCCGCTGGCCTGGAATGCCCTCCTGCTGCTGCCTTCCCATTCTCCACAATGGTCCAACTCTCCAATGGAGTCCAATAACTAACTATTTGCTCCAAGTCTCTGTCCTGTTTAGGTAAGAGAACTATTGTAGCTTCCTCCTAGGACCCTGGCATCTCTCCTTGTTGGAGTACTTGATTTCTTGTAGAAAGCAATAACAGGCCTAATTCTTCTTTATATACCTTGTAAAACAGAGCGGAGAATCCATCTGGACCTGGGGTTTTACTTAATTTAGCTTTATCTATGGGGATGCTGAGGATTGTAGTCCCCAAAGGGAACCTGAGTTAGTGCCATTATATTCACCCTTCTCTTTATTTATCTACCTATCTATCATAACAACAACACTATTGTTGTTGGTTGTTGTTATTTTCAAGAGTTCTCATTTTTCCCCCTTCTCGAAGGTTCAGCCTTTCTATGCAGCTCCATACATAACCAGGGTTGCAAGGATACTACAGCTATTGTATTTTTATTATTATCATCATCATCATCATCATCATGGCAGTGCTCTCGTCCTGTGTTCTTATTTTCTGGCAGATGCAGAGTTTGAATGCAGCTGTTCTCCTCCCCGCACCTTCTCTATCATTCCAGCTTCCCTCCCTCCTGCCTTTGAGGGACACTCTACCCATTGGTTCCCGGGTCCCAATGGCAGGACCTGCTCCCCACCCTTCCATCCGAATGCCAGCCTCCCCCTTGCCCTGGGCACCCCGACACTCACTCCTGCGCTCGGCTGTGCGTTTCCAGAGGGGCTGGGCCTGGGCCTGGCAGGCCTGGCTGGCATTTGGCCCTTGGGGGGGCCCATGTCTGTCCAGCCACTGGGAGATGTATTCAGCAGGTTGGGCCCAGGGGCCAGCCCACCCCAGGCCACAGGGCAGGAAGTGCCCGTCTTCGTTGTCATAGCAGACCAAGGGCAGCTGGTTGAAGGCCATGGTCCAGTTGGCCCAGAGGACCCGGCCGGAGGGCGAGAGGAAGCAGTCCGTCTCCATCTGAAGCACAAAGGCCCCTGCGGACAGCAGAGCAGAGAAGGGTGAATGCCCCTGGCACCATACGAAGACCTTCCCTGCAGTCCTCCTCACAATGGAGGCGGGGTGGCCATGTTCGGATTTGTTATGAAAGAGAAAAGAAGAAGAGATGTTATGACACACTTTGTTATGAAAACAACGCATGTTGTTATATCCAGGGACTAATTGCAGAGTCAGAATGACAAGGCAATTTTCAGGTGATGATGAAACTAGAGTGCAATGCCTGATGCCAACTTTTATTCCGATGTTGGGGCACCTCGGAATAAAAGTGGAACAGCTTGCATAATGACTGAGAATAATTGTTTATGTGGGTGTTGTTGCCCGTTGTTACAGATAAGGAAAGGAGGTATCTACTTGGGAGAATTATTACTGTGAAGAATTACTGAGAGGGGGAGAAAGAGGGAGGACTCGTTCTTGTTCAGAGCTTTGCGTGGATGAACAGTATTCCCTCCCTTATCGCGGGTGTCCCATTCCAGGACCACCCGCGACAAGTGAAAATCCGTGAAGTAGGGACGCTATATTAATTTAAATATTTATACATTATTTTAGCATTGTTGGAGTTCAGCCTGTGATTGTGTTTCAGGGTCAAGGTGCTTTGGATGTGGGAAATGATGTAAACGAGGTTCAAGATGGCAATGGTTTGGTCAGTGATAATGACAGAGAGACACCTGTTAAAAGTGTAGTTTCTCATGAGAATGTTCCTACAGGGTATAGGAATGACGGTTTACTCCCTGAATTGCTCCTAGAGAGTTCCCAGGATTTGGGGCTTGAAAACAACTCTGTACCTTCAGAAACTAATGAGCATATAGATAGGCGGGCGGAAATTTGTCAAAACTGTTCCGTCTTCCAGGAGCATAGTTTGCATTACCTTTTAGCTGCATGAAATAGCATTCCTTTGCATATTCCCAGGGTTGCTACAGACCCAGCAGCACCCTGGAAGCTAAACAGTATCAGAGTCTGGAAAGCCAGGCTGCAGGTCCTCTGCAGTTATTGGTTTAGAAAGTATCTCTTTGGGTTTGGAGACCGCCTTTTTTCCGAGGATGAGATCTCCATTTTGGAATCTCCCCTGCCTCCTTCAGTAGAGAAAAGAACCTCAGATGAGCTGTTGGTCAGGCAGGGAGCTCTGAAAACCCATTGTGAGTACAATTGAGATATTGAATTATATCTAGAGAGAGATATTAAGATATTGAAATAGCAATTGAGCAATTGAGTAACTAAGTTATATAGATAGAAAGATAGATAGAGAAGCTAATTGAGTTATAGATAGATATTGAGTTATTGAGTATTACTGAGCATTACTTCATCTCCAAAGCTAACCTTGAGCTTAGAAAGGGAAAAAACCTGCTTTTTCTAACCATAGCAGCTCAGGATTAGGGTGAAAGGATCCCAGGATTTTTTTCTAGCATTTGGGGAAAAGTTACCTCAGAAACAGAAGGAAAAGGAAAGATAGATCAACTCTATGGTTTCCCAAATTGACTATTTGTGTTGTAACTTTATCAAGCTGTGCCAAGTCTGCCAAGGACTTTGGAAATAAATATTTTGTTGAAGTTCAAATCTTGACTGCCTCAGTTGCTGAAAAATTTTGAGCCTCTAAAGAAAGACCCCAGCGGTTCACCCAGATTAAGAGAGAAGCACATCTTAGTTTTATTTTTTGTGTCTGGGTGTGACGGCACAAAAACAGAAAGGCTGAGTAAGGCCTTCAGCGTTCTGCCAGGCGTCAACAGAAAAAGATAAGGGCTGCTCAAGGAAAGTGAAACCGGTTTCTGAGTGTTTGGAAAGGCTTAAAAGTTCCAAGCATGGAAAATATAGCCAGATGAAGCATCGTTTAGAATCCTACTAAATTCTCGTAGAAGCCTTGCCTGGAAGATTCGTGCTTAAGGATTTCTTGTTCCCTGGTTTAGTTTTTTGTCTCTGGTGATTACCTGCTCATGCCTTGCGTTAATGTTTCCTGGTTCTTTTGATTTTGTTAAGGAGTTGTGGACTTTGTTTTTGGACATTGCTGAACTCTACCTTGGACTAATTTGTTTCTGTTTATCTTTTTACCTAATTGGATTTACCTATTCCTTTAAAGTGTCTTTTTCACTTTGCTGTTTTTACTTATCTACACTGCCATAAAATGCAGCTCAAAGCAGATAATCAGGAATATATCCCACTGTGTAGAAGGGGCTAAGAGAGGGAAGGAACTGGCGGAAGACGATTGCAATATGGAGGTGGCAAGTCTGGGGTGGACAGTGGCTCCTTTGGGAGAGAAAAGGTGGGGTATAAATAAACATTATTATTATTATTATTATTATTATTATTATTATTATTACTATCATCATCATCATCATTATTATCATTTTACTGACAAAAACCACAGTATTCCACAGCAATTATTATTACAGGGTTAGTCAAAATGAATAGGCCAATAAGAAAATTAATTTTAGACGAATGTATGTTTACTGTAACCAAACCACAGCTACGTAGCGACAGATAAACTATCAAAGTTTATTTTGAGCAACACACATGTACGTTAATGCCGCTAGGCGTCGCTAGGGGTCGCTGTTTTCAAAATGGCGGAATCAAGCAAAGAGAAGGCGTTTTGTGTGATGACATTTGCTAAAACAATGTCAGTAATTACGGTCCAGCGAGAATTTCGAGCCAAGTATGGCAAGGAACCACCTCATCGACATTCCATTGCGAGGTGGGTAAAGCAATTTGAGGAGACGGGCTGCTTATGCAAGGGTAAAACCACAGGACGACCACGTGTCTCCGAAGACACAGCTGCATTCGATGCCATTACGTCGGATGTGCTGCAACGGATGTGGAATGAACTGGACTATCGCTTGGACATCTGCCGTGTCACACGGGGCGCCCATATCGAACATCTCTGAAGGTGAGACAAAACTTTGATAGTTTATCTGTCGCTACGTAGCTGTAGTTTGGTTACAATAAACATACATTCGTCTAAAATTAATTTTCTTATTGGCCTATTCATTTTGACTAACCCTGTATTATTATTATTATTATTATTATTTCAAAAATGCATTCATAGAATTGTAGAGTTGGGAGGCACCCTGAGGGGCCTTTTTTGCCAGGTAGAAAAAGCACAATCAAAACACCCCCGACAGATGTCCATCCAGTCTCTGCTTAAGAGCCTCCAAGGAAGGAGCCTCCACCAGATGGTGAGGCAGAGGGTTCCACTGCTGAACAGCTTTTCTTCTAATGATCAGGAGACTATTCCTAACCTTCAGGTGGAATCTTGCACATTCAAGCTGGTGCTGCTTAGCAATCATAAAATTATAACACTGATAATGATCATTTTTACTACTCAGCATTAGAAAATGTGTTCCTGGATAACACTGGGTGGTCTGGTACAAAAGCTAGTTATTGATCAAGGGTTGAGCCTTGACTGACTCCCACTCTCTCAGCCTCAGGAATTAATAATAATAATAATAATAATAGAAAATAAGTTGATGACAGATCCCAAGTGCAAGGAAACAGATGAAACAATAGATCCCACCCTCAGCTGCTGCAGGAAGATTGCAGACAGACTACAAGCAGAGGCATAACACCCTGGCTCGGGTGATTCATTTGAACTTGTGCCACAAACACCATCTGCCTGCGACAAAGAACTGGTGGGACCACAAGCCTGAAAAAGTTGCGGAAAATGAACACATCAAGTTACTCTGGGACTTCTGAATTCAGACTGACAGAGTTTTGGAGCACAAGACTCCTGACCTCACAATTGTGTTAAAAAACAGAGTGTGGATCATCGATGTTGCAATCCCAGGTGACAGCAGGATTGGAGAAAAACAACTGGAAAAGCTGACACAATACGAGGGTGTAAAGATCGAACTGCAAAGACTCTGGCACAAGCCAGTCAAGGTGGTCCCAGAGGTGATCGGCACACTGGGTGCAGTGCCTCAAGACCTTGGCCTGCACTCAAAAACAAATGACCACCTGCAAAAGTCCACCTTACTGGGATCTGCACGCATTATACGCCGATACATCACACAGTCCTAGACACTTGGGAAGTAGGTTCTTGTGTGTTTTTTCGGGCTATATCGGCATGTTCTGGAGGCATTTTCTCCTGACATTTCGCCTGCATCTATGGCAAGCATCCTCAGAGAGAACACATTTTCTAATGCTGAGTAGTAAAAATGATCATTGTTAGTGTTCTAATTTTATGATTGCTAAGCAGCACCAGCTTGAATGTGCAAGATTCCACCTGAAGGTTAGGAAGAGCTTCCTGACCATTAGAAGAACAGCAGAGGTAGCATCCTCAGAGGTAGCATCCTTACTTACCTCTGAGGATGCTTGCCACAGATGCAGGCAAAACGTCAGGAGAAAATGCCTCTAGAACATGGCCATATAGCCCAAAAAAAAAAAACCCACAAGAACCTATTGATTCCATCCATAAAAGCCTTCGACAATGCACTTGGGAAGTGTTTGATGTGGGATCCAATACAACAGCCAGCAGAGTGATCTTGTTTGCTGTGGACTCATCTTGTTGTTTGTCAAATAATAATAATAATAATAATAATAATAATAATAATAATAATACTTAGTGGAACCTGATGTCCTGTCCCTGCCAGACCCCCTCCCTCTTGTGGGTGGGGTTTGCAATTTCCCTATTTGTAAATTCTTTCTTTCTTTTTTTTTTTCTTTTTTTCTTTTTTTTTTTTTTTTTTTTTTTTTTTTTTTTTTTTTTTTTTTTTTTTTGTTTTTTTCTTTTTTTTTTTTTTCTTTTTTTTTTTTTTTTTTTTTTTTTCATTTTTTTTTTTTCCTTTTTTTTTATTTTGTATTTTTTCTTTTTTTTTGGGTTTGCAATTCTGTTTTTTTGTTCTTGTGTTTTTTTTTTTTTTTTTTTTTTTTTATTTTTTTTTTTTTTTTTTTTTTTCGCCTATTGTAAAATTCCTCATTTCATCTCATTTTCCAGCAGGTTTACTGGGGGGGGGAGGGGAGGCGTGTTGGTACGGCTGTACCAGGAGCTCCAACTTCGTTTCCCTTCTATTGAGTGTTTGCATGTATTCCAAAGTTCCATGCATTTTGCAATAAGGTGGCTTCCCTTGGTTTGCAATCATAGGGCAAAGGACCCATCAATCATT